GCTTTTGCGCCTTACCAAAAGACATCGATCAATGATCATCAGGTGCGTTAGTGAACGGGAGGGATCAGTCAAACTAAAGCCCGATTTAAAAAGTCTACTCTACTAAAGGGCCTAGGATTTAGGCCCATCCAAAGTAATTTTCGGAATCTATAAATTTGTGGATTTTGCAATTTCGTTTTGCAGAATTGGTCCAATTGGAGAAAGAAACGAAAATTAATATTCAGTGTTCGACGACGAAGAAATGAGTTTTTGGGTACGCGTATCTGGTTTCCTGTGTGTTTGAAATTGCGAAATGATTTAATTTTCCCTTAAGCACCTTTTGAAATTGGCATATAGTTAGAAGAACACTTTAATTTTTGATGGATCATAGTGATTTTGAAATATTTTACCATGGACCAAATTTGATTTTTTTTGTTTTAGTTTATATCGATGATTTTCTTCCTGTGTATGCATGATGTTGAAATGTCTGTTTAATTATTTACTTTCCCATGGACAAAAGTGGTAATTGCTAAACAAAAGTGATTGAGAGATTAAACAATGGAATACTGTAGATTTTCAGTCTGCTTCGTTACGTTTGCTGATATTCTCTAGGTGATTCCCTGACTAACTAACCACTTTGTATTGCAACAAAATCTCTTCTTTTTCTAATCAAATCACCTTTCAAAGATTATTGCATTCAAGGATTCTTGATATCACTTACGTACCCGATTACAAAGTTAAATACAGAGAGATATAAAAGGATGCTAATAAAGATGTTTTCAGATAATACTTGATTATCAATCACTTCAGTATTTATCCTAATATTCTCTTTGTAACTCGAAAACTGCTTTGTTGCGTTGCGTCACAAAGCATCAAAAGTTAGAAGAAAATTTAAATAACGAAGAATCTTTTCTTCTCTGGTCACAAAAATAATGAAGTGTTTTATGTTCCCAATTCTCTCCACTAGCTATTCTTTATCATCATTAAAAGTGCTTATTATTTATTTTGCTCAATGTACCAAAATTGTTTAAAATCGAGTTTAAGACACACGAACTAGTATAAAAAAATAAAGACACGAACTAGTGTTTTAGAAATCCTTGTCCGACCCAAAAGAGTAAAACGAAAGACTATACAGGGGTAAAACCGGAATTCCAAAAAAGAACTGGAGAAGGATTTTCCTATGGAGAAAGAAAACCCTAACACGACTCATGTATTAAAAAAAAAAAAAAGGAGTATATAAAGATAGTAACGCGTTTC